TTCCGCAGCTTTTCATTCTGCTTAGCACTGCCTTTGCTGATTCATTGTACCGTCATTCCATCCAACTATCGAAGCGCAGGTATTTCTTATAAGCATCGTCTTTTTTTTACAGGGCGTTCGTATAAAGTGGATACTATAGACGTTTACCGTCAAGTAACTCAGAGCATGTGCATTGGTACTTTTTACGACAAAATGATCTCTAGCAATCGCACCCGGCTTTACAACATCTTAAGCTTGGAGTTTAGCCAAAACGAAAAGTGAGTTGTTTTGCATTACCTTTGCATGCCCCTTGCTCCAGTTATTGAAATGTTTTGCAGATTGAAGAAGCTGATCGCTCCCCCATTGCTGGTGCCAGAGTTGAGCTTTGTACATAAGCTATGGCCCGATAGGAACGATGTTGTCAACTGGGATCCTGAACGTACGTTAACATCACCTTGAGAAGAGTTTGAAGCTGACAGTTTTTGCGTTTCACACCTCTTCCGTATTCTGGCTTCGCTAAACTTGTTTATTTTACTATTTTCAGTCGATTACTTACCATCATCAATGAAGGGTGAGTAGTCTCGATTTTCGTACGTTCATCAAGTTTAATTTGATAATCAAAAAAGGCGGTGAAGAATAAGAACTGTTGTTATCAAGTCATTTGAGAATGCTATGAAAACAAAGACTGACATTCTGACGCTAACTTTTCATTTCCTTTTTAGATATTTAGCTGTTTTTTTTTACCTGTTTCGAGCTCATCATAAAAATTTAGTGCAACAGGTAGTCGAGGTGTTGGAGGAACACCGTAACAACAAGCCTGAAGTGGCATTGTTCTGCTTATGTGGCATGGCTGGCTCGTACACAGATTTTCACATAGATTTTGGAGGATCCAGTGTGTGGTATCACATTTATGAGGTGTCATTTTACATTCCTCCACGATATTTCCCAATTTTCAGTTCTTGAATTTAGGGTGAAAAGATATTCTATATTGTCGAACCTACTGATAAGTACTTGGATCTGTTTGAGAATTACCAACGCTCTGAAACTAGATCCGAAACTTTCTTTGGTGATCTTTTGCCTCCCGGAACTGTTCGCAGAGTTAGTAGATTTGTAATTTTTGGTCTATTAGCAATATTATCCACAT